GGCCGGGCGCTGGCCGTGGTGCTGAGCCGGCCCGGCCCGCGCCGCCGAGCCTCGGGGGCTAGTGAAAAAGTGTCCTCGGTCAGCAGTGAGGCTGGTCTTGAAAATAAACCGTCAAGCAGGCCACTGGAGATGTCCAGACTGAGCTCCGTTTGGTGAATGAAAGTGTGAGGGAGGTGGTAAGGTTTTCTCAGCTGATGGTGTGTTGTTTGTCTTCGTGCTAAACCACAAGAGGCAGCAGATAGAATGTGCAAAACAATGAGGATGAAACTCCACAAAGAATTAAGTAGTTCAGTAGTACATGGAGATGTTGGCTTAGGATTTAAGATAGTTCAGGAAGCGTTACTGGCAATGTTTCCAGCGTATGGAGATTTTCATTTTGCAGTATTTCTTTCAGTGACGGTTTTTTTCAGTGCAGTAAATTTGCATAGCAGTTCCCATTTTTCATTCTGAAATAATTAGTTCATCAAACATAGCATTGTTTCCATTTGGAGAAAATATTCAATTGGTTATTCTGAGTGGTGTTTTAATAAAAATGTTTAATACTTTTTCATGTACGCACGTTCTTCATAGAGGAGTGTCTGTAATGCAGGAAGTAATGACAATGACATGTAATTGCCATTTTTAATTCCTCTAATATTAGTATGGGGTCATCCTTTTATCTGAGCCTGTCAGTATTTAATTGTACATAACATAGTAATAGCCTGTATTGAACTGTAGAAAGACGAAAGATACTCTTTGCACCACGTGCTCAATGTCTTATAGTGGTTATATGTGAAACATAGGGCTGCAGAATAGCTTACTTCACAGGTTGTGTGTGTGACTTCCTTTAAAACCAAGCAATAAAAAAATCAAGAGTTTATTCGAAGTGTTGAACTTTGAACTGAATTTTGACATACCTGTGGCCAGGTATAATGGAAACCTCTAGTTGTACCCCTCCAGGTAACTTCCATACCTGAAATGGCAATAATAAAGCTTTCTAAGAAACTTTACGCTTCATGCTGGCATTGCATTAAAATGGTAAAACGAGTGCGGGTGATTTATTGTAGAAGTGATGCTTTTCTGTGAATTGAAAATGTGAGTAGTTAGACTTTCAACGTGAGTTGTGTTTCTTCTAACTAAAAAGTGCATTTTTTTCTTTAATTTTCTCTCTTGTTACATTGGGCAAATGAAGCTTAACCGTTTATTCCCCTAGTCACAAACCTTTTTTTTTTCCTCTTTGGACTAAATGAGATTTTTTAGTTCTTGTTCTGAAAATAACTTTTCTGCATTATGATCTAAGCTATTAAAACTTCTTTCTATTTTTTACTGTGTTATTTCATTGTCAACTATGTATGGACTGAGGCAAATGCTGTAAATGGGTCAGAGTGCTCTTGTCTAGCTGCAGCGTACGTTGTTGTCAGTAGTAGTCTAGCAGGTCTGTTTCAGCTCTTAGCTATTTTGTGACCTGAATGTTTGTTCCGAGTAGGTGGTGTGTTAGGAGGATATGACCACTTTTATTTTTCCATAAGAGCAGATCTGTGCTCTGAATAGAAAGAAACTTGCACTGCTAATTTTTGTGTTTATGTAGGAATGTGTTTGAAAGACATAGATTTTAGTCTCCTACCAAATTAGAAGCCCGTTATTGGTAAACTCTGCCAGTTATTAGTGCTTGTCATTTAGGAATGGACGATAGCTATGCTGTCCAAACACTTAAACGTAACCTGTGTCTTGATTTGCTTTTAGTGTAGACCTGGCTTTTGATAGTTAACAATTAAAACTTCTTCTTTCAAGTTGTAAACTGTGCATGAGAGAGTATATACCTGTATTTAAAATTTTTTTTAGAGATTTTTTTTTTCTTAGTATATAAAAAAGCAAAACAGTTACCTGACTCTTTCAAAACCAGGGATGAGTATGTTTTACTTGAAAGCAATTAATTTTGAATTTTGTTTTGTTTAAAAAAAGTGCTGGTTCTGTAGATAACAGCTTAACTGGGATTACTGTAGTTCAATGAGAGTAAAACATGTTAAATTGTTCAAAAACTTTGAATGGAAAATTGCCATCCGCTGTCCTAAGGAAAGGTGAATGATGATGGTCTAGTATGAAGGTGAGCCTATTGATGCTAATGATGGCTTGCAGGCAGATAACCTGCGATCTGTAAATGAGCTTAAAATTGTTCAGCATTTGTATTGGCAGTTTTTCCCTGCAAAGTATTTTGAGGAACACTGAAATTACAGCTGAATTATTAGATTGTGGCATTTGATGGATGGAACTGATAAAAGAGCTTTGAAACATTGTACTTTTTAGAAAGCTAATTGGGTCTGACAGTATGATGACAGAAAGTAGGCAGTACTCTTGTAGAAGCAAGCACTACATATTTGCAGATATTGACAGTTTCTTTCAAAAGATATGCTTGTATGTAGGAATTCTACAGAAAGAGCTTAAGCTAGAAAATGAAGATAGATTCATGAATCTGGAAATTATTTCAGAAATAATTTTACAGAAGGACTCTAAATCAAGCTGCACAACTGTGCAAATCTAGGTAGGTCCTGGCATACCTACTGATTGGAATGGAAGTAATGTTCTGAATTTATGGCGTAACCTAGCTCTTATTCTGAAAGGCTACCATAGCATATTTTTGTTAAACTTTGATTCTGAGAAGAGTGAACAAGTCGTCTTCTATGCCCTGAAAGAAGTAAAATGGGTAACGTAGTGATGATAGTTGCTCTTGGTTCCTGTAAATCTCATCTTTCCAACCTAGAATTAGACTTGGGAACACCTTGCAGATGAGGATTCTCTTTCCTCCTCTTGCGTTAAAGACACCATCACGTTTGCAAATACGTGAAAGGAGCAGGAATAAGACTGGCTATGGTGCTGTTTTTGGAATTGGTTTTGAAAAACCAGAAAACTTCGGAAAATGTTTTGTTCTGACGTTATCAACTTGTATTCATAGTAACGGTCCCTAAGTTGGAAACTCTACCGCTAAATTTTATCCGTATTCTTCCTAGATGAAGTTAGTGTAGGCATAGAGGCTACAGTGGTAAGATCCGAACACTATTTTTTGTACTCTAGGAGAGTTGAACTGAAGTGGATGAGACTGCATCAACCAAAAATCAGCCGTATAGATCTTATGTGGTATTTTTTGAGGAAATTTTTTGCTATGGCTATCTGATAGAATCTCAGACAGGCAGCAGAACCTCCTGTCTATTAAACGCATAAACGTCCAGTTCAAAACATGGAAGTAGTATGAAACTAAGCTGTTCTTAGCAGACTGAATTATCCAAAGCTTTTGTCTATTATTGTCCAGTGTCATGCTACGAGGAGCAGTTAGTCTTTATTCTCATAAGTCCACATATACCACTTCAAACAGACCACAACTTTCTGCTTGTTTCCTAGAGCTCCGCTGTACCCCAGGACAGTTTGCTTGTCGGAGTGGTACCATCCAGTGCATCCCTTCAAACTGGCAGTGTGATGGATGGCCCACCTGTGAGGACGAGAGTGATGAAGTTGATTGTCCAGGTAAGTAAAGCTGAGAAAACTGTTCATCTCTGAAAGTCACCTTGTTTTGCCGTGGTACTTTGACAGTTCTCTTTGTAAGAAGGCTTGCTTATTTTTGTTTGGAAAGGGAGTGAGTTTCGTAGGGTTGTACCTCTTATTTATAAGCTTTGAATTGGCGTCTCTTTACTTTGTGTGGCTAATGCTACAAGCAGTTTTTCAGCAGCCTGAATTATACTTCTGTTCTTGCAGTCTGAGTAGATGTTCTGGAGGTGAGGAGAGTTTGTAATTTAGAAAGACATCCATGTTAGAGAGAAATTATGTTGCAGTTAACCAAAATGGCATCTAAGCTTGCAGTTACATTGTGAATTTCTGTTTTAGTTGTCTGAACATATCAAGCTGTGCTGGGCAACGTTGTTGGACTAGGTGTAGAGCTTGTTCTTTGCTTCTGTACTGGTTATGCTTCATGTACATATGTGGAGAACTTTGATCCGCCAAACAAACTGGTGTATTTACTCTTAGTAAACTCATGTAGTCATACAAGCTTTCAGGAGCTTATTACCCAGCAGTGGTTCTTTGCTAAACTTTTGCATCTTAAATGATTTTCTGAACACAGATGCACAAGTTTGAACACTTTCATTTCTGTTCTTGAAAAACTGGCCAGTGCAATTTCCCCCACCATATGTTTTAAAATGAAGAAGGGGCCTGCCTTTTTTTTGCTAAGGACAGTGAAGCAGGAATCTGAAAGCATGAATTAGAATTTAATTGTGCCATAATTCAAAATTTGTATCTCTCATGTGACTAAACAGCATTCAAGGACTGTTTTCAGAAATTCTTTGTCGTTAAGCTACTTGATGTGCTTGGCAGAGGATCATGTGAACTTCACAATAATGTCATCGCAGCATTCAGTCCATCACTATGAGTTTTGAGCTATTTTAGTTGTCGAGGTGCTACCAAATAGTAACATAAATGTTTTACAGGAACAAGCTCTTTTAAATATTCCTATTTTTGAGGGGAATTAGAAAAGTAAGTCTAACACTTGAACTTTGAAACTGTACTTTATTACCCTCTCCCCACTGTGTGCTGCATACAGAATTAAAATGTATTCAGTGCTCTGTTTAGAAGACTTTTGGCTAGTTTGTGTGTGTATATACATTTGAAATAAACAAACAAACTGTTACTTTCTTCTGAATACTCAAATTAAGCTATACTTTTGAGATTACTTATACTTAATCTTCAGGGTGGCTATCCTGAAGAAAGGAAGCTTCTATCGTTGTGCTGTTGTTTATTGTCCTTTTTAGCTAATTTTGACCAGATGTGAAGGACTAGGGATCTAAAAGTTCTGGGGGTCAATGAAGATTAGTGGATAGATAAAGCAGAGTCACATTAATATTCTGATTTATTCAAAAAGCACTGATATCTTGACTTGTGGGAATAATGGAACATCGGGAATTCTTAGTGGAAAACAGTGTTTTTATCTTCTGGTGCCTAGTATATCAGTTAACAATTTATGTTGTTGCATGGAGACGCTGTTCATGCAGTCTCCCACAGAATACCTTGCTGTGGAAGAAAGGGGGAAAATGGATGATCATGACTCAGGGACTGGAGTTATGAAGAATATTTGGTGTTTGGCTAGGAAAAGGGTTTTATAAAAGTAACAGTTCTCAACAAATAGACTCTGCCTGTGTGTTGAGGTGTAAGATTCACGGGACTGTCTGGCCTGACGTGATGAGAAGAGCTTTAAATTACGAAATTAGAGGAGGTGAGTGGGAGAGACTTGTTCCACCTCCGTATGTGTACACAGGAAGAGGAGAATAACATCTATAAAGAATATTAGAGGGGAAAATGATGGACAGTGTAGAGAAGGAAAGTACTCCAGCTGATGAGAAGAGTAATTGGATAAGTAATTGGTGAAAGGGCTGTACTCAGTAAAACAGCCAGAAAGCTGGGTGTGGCATTTATGAAAGAACTGAGATATTTGCACAGTAAAGCAAGGAGTATAGCCAGCAAACCAGAGGAACGAGAACTACTGGTGTAGGATGTAAAACTGTATTATACCTGTAACAAAAATTTGGTGGGATAGCATAGTGACCTGAAACAGATATTGAAGGGCAGGTATTATTCACAGCTGTCAAGAATAAGGACAAGTTGGTGTGCTGATGTGCTTGTTAATGGTGTATTAAAGGTAAATCTGGGGCCAAAATAAATTTAGAAAAGTACAGTCCTGCAGTTGTTAATTTAGACCACTGATGTGTGAATAGGGTTTTTATGCTGGGGAAAATAATACATCTGTGAAGAGTCATAGGAGAGACTTAACTTCTGAGACACTGACTGGAGAAATAATGCTAATAATAGCAGTAGGACCTAGTCATACTCAGGAGTGATAACTTTCTTCTTTGGTCACTGAATTAACAAGAAGTGATGCAGCTTTAAATTTAGAAAATACCTTTAGATTTGGATGAGTAATCATGAGATGATTCAGTTAAATATTTTTAAGTTAAGGTTCTTAATTTCAAAAAAGACAGACTGAACACCAAAAAGAACTACTTAGTGAAGCCACCTGGACTTGTGAAACCTGGACAATTAAAACATCTTTTAAATTAAAAGGCATGAAGTCTCTCTCAAGCATTAAGAGAAAGCCTTTAAGGAAGGGCTCTGGATCTGTTTGGGAAACTTGTTATGTTTCAGCCTTTGAGCTCCTAATGGCCCGCTCCACTATGAGCAACTTGAAGAAGATCAATAGCAGTGAGTTAGGTTGCGGTATTGATGGCATTGTCTTTCGATAACTACTTTCTTCTATTGCTTTTTTCAAAGGTTTAATACAAAGCCATTGTAAGTTATTTGGCACTGTTAGTTTAGTTCACCTTTTTATGCCTGATTTCATTCATGTTAGTAACAGAACTCCTGTTTAACTCAAGAGGATCATTTAGTAATAAATTAGTCTGGTAATCGTGTTGTCCTAAGTGCAAGAGCACCCTTCCCCCCTCTCCTCCCACCCCCCAAATCCCAGGACATTTTTGTTAGGACCATTTATTTCAGTGTTTTTTCAGAGCACAGTTAGGTAAGTCATTCATTCACTGACAGTCTGAGGAAGTATATGGAATGTATACTTTTGTTGGTAGACCATTTTTCAGAAGATAGTGTTATCATAGTTGTTTTCATTCTTATTGCTTCTCTTCAAAATGACCATTTTCCTTTAAGCATGGAATTCCTTTTAATTCCAGCCTTAGTGGGTAAAGTGCAATTCTCCCTGCCCCTCCTAGTGGGCATGTGAGTATTGGTGGGATCTGCATCAGTGATTACCCTCAGCCTATCTGTGTGATAGGCCTTTTGGCTGCTTACTCCTGTTGGCATACGAAAAATTACTGGGAGGATTTATGTAGGATGTGACTACAACTCTCTCTTCTGCTTAGGCTTTTGAGAAGACTCATGAAAGTTGTATGCTCTTCCATATCAAGAGTGCTTGATCCTAAAACTAATTTAACCGGAATTGGTATATTCTGTGAAATGGTTAAAACATGCTAGTATCTTATATAGGTGGTACTTACAAATGGGAATTTCTTATTTCGACCTCCTTGCACTGCCCATTTCTACACAAGTAGTCAAAAGTAGCTTAACTTTTCCACCTTCATATACAAGTTTTGTATTTGGCTTTGTAATGCTCATTAGATTTCCAGCTTTTCTTCTACCAGAATGTCAGATCAGCTTCTCCAAATATCCTGCCTTCTGTACAGACCCTCTGGTCAAAACTCATTTTCAGCAGTATGAGTGGAGCAGTGTTCAGGGTAGCTCTGGCTGTTTACCTGTGTTTTATGCTTATGCTGCATAATAGCTGTTAGTTTCTGTTATATATGGACAGAGAAGGGATGTCTTAAATTCCTGTGCTTTTCCCAAATCCTATCCACAGTAATTTTTTAACTTGCGATTGTATGGGTGATCATTGTTTTCTCTCTCTCTCTCTCTCTCTCTCTCTCTCTCTTTCTTTTATAAATAGAATTCTTCCAGTACAAGTGATTAAATTGTGCTGTCAACAGTCCTTGTGTTTCTCCCTATGTGTGAAGTGGAAAACCTTCAGCTAGCCCTTTAGTGCACACCCTTGCTTAATGCTGTATTCTTCCTGTATTGGGTGTGTCGCAGTATTGTTTTCTAGAGCTTCTTGGTCAGAAGTGAGGACACTGCACGGTTTCTCTGGATGTAGCTGATCTGAATTCATAATATTTTTTTTGAGTTTGAGGCCACAAATCCAGCTGGACACATGGCCATCCCTTAAGGCTGTGGTAGGCAGTGGTTGCAAGATGTTGCTAGAGGAGATCATTTTGGAGCTGCTCTGTGATTCCATGTTAAGCAGTAAGATTTTACGTGTTTTAAACTTGAAAAAAGCATAATTTCATACAGAAACAATCTTGTTAGGAAGCTAACTGTGAATGCCGCTCTCGAGCGATGTCGTCTTGTATACTGTTCTTACGGATTCCCCAAGATGCAGGTTTACATATTTCTTCCTAATACTGTATGTACACCCTTGCCCTACCTAGCTCATACATGCTGTATCATTTTGGATCTGGAAAGCCTCCTGTGTGGAGCCAGCTGGAGGTATGGCCAGTAAATGATAAAGCAGCAGCTGCAGCATGCTATTTGACATTGGTCATAAACAGTTTTCTGTGTTTCATTTTGCCAAAGATAGTCTGCTTAGCGTGCAGTGACTGTGAGCTCCTATTCTCCCAATAATTCACCTGCTTCACCTCATCTCTTGTTCTTTCCATTCGCCCTTTCCTTTTAGCTCCCTCTTAGGAGCTTCCAAACTGGATCAGGACTAGTTTCTTCCACCTCAGGAGAGTCAGTACAGCCAAAAGTTTCAAATGAAGGAACAAGACGCCACTTTAGGTGGTTGATATAGTATATTCTCCTTCACTAAATATCTTTATCATTTAATTTTCAATTTGCCTCATGGGCTTAGAAGCTTTAATATCCCTTCTAAAATGGTTTCAGCCCTGTTCTTGTCAGTATCCTCTCTTTGCTTAATCATG